CTCCAAAAGTTCTTCCACTGAGCTGTTAAGGCGGCGATAGGCCCCACCGGCAGGATGTGTGGTGAAAGTGCCCATAAGCCATTGCCCCCACTAACGGGCTGCTAACAGCTCCAAAAGGGGGAAAATGTTTACAGGGAAGAGTTTTTTACTGGGATATAGCATATGCTGGTATACAGTGAGGGCTGGGACGCTTCTTCTTCTTCTTCTTCTTCTTCTTCTTCTTCTTCTTCTTATTCATAGACTGTCCCAGCCGCCGTTCGTGAGTTGGATCCTAGATCATACTTGACAGGGGTAGCTGCTGCCTACTAGGCAGCAGCTAGGCCTGAGGCACTGTCGCACAGCCTACAGCAACTATAAGTAGATGCAGCTGCACCGGTAATATTAGAATAGGAACATACACTTATTATCAGTTCATAGGTTGAACTTCGTGGCAGCTATGCAGCGTTCTATCTACCTACTGATTTTGCTGTCGTCGGCCCCGAAGACGAAGTTTATGGCAAAGTTCGCTTCATCTTCGGTTCAGACAACTCTATCGTACAGGTGAATATTCATGACTGTTCTGTGTCTCTGACTTGTCAGACCTTTCCTGGCCCTCCTTAACTTCTGTATAACAGTAACCACTCGTTCACGAGGCTTTCTATTTCTGTAGACAGAGCTATGCCTTGTCCTCTCGATTCTCTTGGCTGTGTTTGCGTCATCCCTTGCATGCTGTTGTGACTTGCAACGCTCTAGAAGGCATAAAAGGTCCAGCAGCCTGCCAGGATATCCATGCTTGGAGTGCGCTATTTGAGTGTCGACGTACTGTAACTGTGTTTTTGACATTTTATGGCATGCTCGGTGATGTGTGACCCATGCTCGACGCGACTCCACACAGACGTCACCACAGTACCCTGACGAGCTAGAAATCGTCAATCGATGTGGTTGTCTGCATGAACATGGGTCGACTGTGTGTTCTTGAATGAGATCGGTCCTGGTGTGCGTGTTCTGAGCTGTTGGTGGTGTTGTTGCCAATTGGTAAAGTTTTTCGGTCCCGACCCTGACTATGTTTGGATAGTCAGGCTCTGTGAAGTACTGATCTGTTGCTGCGCATTATGTTTGACTGTTTTGGTGGCCCTTGATGTTTTTCGTGTTTGTAACCATATCCGCCCCTTCTATTCTGCTTCTCTAATGTATACTCCTCAATCGCCGATACCGTAAACCATTGTCGGGCAGGACAAATGGGTTTCCCAGGCCCATTTTCCATCGCGTGGCGTACTCAGCAAGGACGCAACTCCTTCTGTTGGTACTATGGCTGTAATGTTTGTGTTTCGTGAGGTTCGTATGATCGACTTTCGACATGTTGACGTGTCTATGGATGGGGGATAACGCTGTTC